AGCAAAGGCTCTGACTCAAGCCAAAGCCCCACAGAGGCAGCCACAGACTCACTGGGCAGAGGGACCTTGGAGGACAAGTTACACCTCAGGGTCGCCCCCACGGGAGGTGAGCTGGACCCTGTGAGCTGCTATCGCCCGAGGGCCGTCCTTTCAGAAGGGTAGGGGGCACGCAGACGTCGTGAGAGAGGGCCCAGGGGATCTGAGCAGAGCGCCCCCCACTGACTGGACAGGGGAATCGCGAACCTTGGAGGGCAGGTCCCGAGGGTAGCGGGCACACCGATTGCACCACAACTCAGTGGCTGCCCAAGTAAGACAAGTGGAGCAAAGAAAAGAACATGTTTAGAGAAACTCCAAATGAGGGTGTGCGCCTCCCTGGCTCACTGAGATCTTCCTGACATATGCCATGTAAGGTCCCCAGTAGGGTGACTTTCCGGGCAACAGCTTCGGGCCAAGGGTTTGTCAAATAGGCAGAACTGCACAACTATCACACAGTGCAAACGGTGGTTGTCAATGTACTGCATGTGAAATGTCCGTTGGCTGGACCAGGACACGCAGCGGAGAGTTCTCTCTGAAACCCAGTTTACAAGCATTTGGAGTCTGCTCTATTTAGAGTATTGACGCGTACAGATGCGTTGCATAGTTGGAGAAAAAAAAAATCGTCTCATAAAAATTCAGGAATTTTTGGATGCGATATTTTTAAAGGAGCACTTATTCCAGGAAATTTGGAAAAGTTGGAAAGAAGGTTGCGACTTGTGACTGTGAAGCACCCTTTTCCTTCCTCTGACTGACGGTTCTGAACGTGGGATGTGCGGCTCGGACCGGCAGTGGCAGCCCCACCTGGGAGCTGGTGAGAAATGCGAGCTCTCAGGCTCCGACCGACCGACCGGCAGGCAGAGTCCGAAGCCCTGGGACAGCCTGCCTCCGGGGGGAGCGGGGGCGGGGTTCTGGTGAGGTGGGAGAACCCCGGATTTGAGGAAACCAAGTCCGTGCGTTCAGTGTTACGGTGCAGAAGGGGAAACGAGCACTCAGGAAAGAGTCCTGTTTGCTAACTTAGAATCACTCATTTCTCAGAAAATGCAACCTTACCGAGGCAATGCATGAAGTGGATTTTACTTTCAACATAGCAATACTTTTCATGATTTTCTGGCTCCTAAAATGTTCGTGTTCATTGTTTTCAGATATATTTTCAATATAGAAAGAAAGAGACTAAGAAGAACGTAGAGTGCGCTCAAGTTCCACCACTTAGGGAAAAAACCCAGCTAACATTTTAGTGCACGTCAGTCGAGAGTTTTTACTTGCATAGATACATATAGTGATACTTTTTGTTGTATTGTTTTTGTTTTTCACAAAATAAGCTCATGCTAGACATGTTTTATAACATTTTGCAAAGTGCTTTTTAATTTAAAAATACATCATGGGTATGTTTTAATGTCAATAGGTAGAGGTCCGCATTTTAATGTCTTATGTTTTCATGTCTGCATAGTATTCCATGGGAAGAAAAACTGCAGTCTGAAACGACTGCTTTGTTATTGAATGAATAGGTGTTCCCAGCATTGGTGTTCTCCACAATGCCACATTTAACATCCTTGTACTGACACCTCCACGTGCTTCGTGGAGCAGGTAGACATATCGCAAACCTCCTTCCTAAATTACACAGCCCTAGTTCCACACGTCACCCACCGTGCTGGCCCAGCACAGCCTCGGAGGCTCTGCCCTGTGCCCGCACCCCGCCCTCCCCGCTCCCTCTCTCCCCTCTCCCTCTCTCCCTCCCTCCCCCCTCCTCTCCCTCTTCCCCTCCCCTCCCCTCCCCCCTTTCCTCTCTCAAACAAACAGAAGCTCTGAGAAGGAGGAAAGGGCCTTACCTCAGCTTTCTCTCTCCCCCTTCGCTCACTCTGGGCCAAACCCGAGAATAGACGCCAGGAACTCAGGCGGGAGGGGGGCAAGAATGAGACAGATTCTATTAAAAACTCTAGTTTCTGAGCCATCTCTTGCATTTTCTCTTGTCTCCTAAGGGAAACTCCTGCCTGCCCCCTTGGAAAAGTAGCCCAGAAGTTGTCCCATCCCCGATGGAACCTCAAGGCAGGTCTGTCCCTACTCCAATCAGAGTTTACAGAAGGGCCTGACCGGGCGCGGGAACAGCCACTTCCTCCCTGAGGGTGAAGGAAGAAGGGGGGAAAGGAGTAGAGAGAGAAATTGAAAGGAGGGGACAGAGGGGAGTTGAGGTGGGGGGCCAGGCCCTTCCCACAGAGGCGTGTCCTTTAAGAGCAGAGCGCCACAGAGACCTGTCACCTGGCTCCTGGCCTGTCCCCTGGAGCGCCCACCCCACCTAACACCGGTCGTGGAGACGCCCACGCGGCCCGTGCCTCCAGAAATCCCCAGCCCTTTTGGCTTTGCTGCCTCAAACAAAATTCCGTTTCCACTGCCGTGGCCGCAGGCCACAATAAATACATCTGCAGCAATCCCAGCTCTCGAGGGTGCCAGGATTCTTGTGCCAGATTGAATCCAAAAAGCTGAAGTTGCAACCGCCTCAGCTCCCAAGTCTGAAGTGTGTTTTTCCTTCGACCGTAGAATTGAGATAAGAAGAGAAACTCCCATGGAAATAGCAACACGCACCTGAAATTGAAAAAGGGTTAAATAAATCACCCCAAGGCTAGTGATATAAATTCACCCACATATTTTTCATTCTACAGTGTCACTTATACCAGTCAATGCCAGGTTTGAAAAAAAAAAAGAGTTTTATAACATTTTGATAAACGTGCTAGGACTGTTGTAAGTAAAATTTCAAGAGTCACCTGAGCAAGAATGGGAGCTGACTAAAAATAATATTGTGCCACCGCGCTTTCAGTAAGAATGTCAAACGAGCCGTGGCTGGTGGCCTTTCTGCCACCTCTCCTTGGAACCGGCCAGGCCCCATCGGGCCCCCATCAGCCCCCCAGCGCAGACCCCTCGCCCTGCGTGCAGCTGGTTCAGTGTTGCAGGCCTGCCCCGCCTCTTGGGTCAGGGCTGGGCTGGCAGAGTCCCCTCCCTGGACCGCCGTGCCCGCCACAGGAGCCTGCCGGGCACTCGGATTTTCTCAGCTCTGACACTGGGCCACGGGCACCCAGACTCTGAATCCTAAGAGGGTGGAGACAGGACTTCATCGCTGCTCTTCGGATGTGGGGAGATTCCCCCAAAGTCCCCAGCCCCTCTACCCATACCCTCTGTCATGTGACTTTGTGGCCCTTTGGTCCCCTGCGCCCCCCGGTGGTATATGTTCCCCCGCCCCCTTGAAGCTGGGCTTAGCACATGGTGCGTCTTGGCCAAGGGGACATCAGCAGAGGTGACGAGTACCTCGTGAAGGAGCCCAGACCAATGGATGACATCACCCCACTGTCGGCCGCTCCCAGCCGGCCTTTCCCCCCCAGAGCAGTAAGAAAAAATAAAAGGCCCCCTTTGGAGATAGTGGATCATTTACACTTGAAATGAAAGGGGACTGTCCTCATTTTCACAAGCTGTGTACCCTTTACTTACACTTCCTCATGTTATAGATACAGGATGTGCATACTTTCAAAGGACACTCGCCTGACCAATAGCTGATTCGCCTGGAATTAGGAGTTTGCCGAAGTTTGGGGATGGCGCTGAAGGTGCTTCATCTCAGAGAGTCCAAACTGAGTCAGGGACACCCCGGTCCTGAACCTCAGGGTCACCCAGCGCCTGAGAAACCTAAACTATCCGCAGAGCTGCTGAGCTCCCAGCCATGGCTGGAAACCAGCAGGCCGCCCATGGACACACAGGCATGCACGCCCACGCAGGCTCACACGCAGTGCACGCTCATGCCCCACACACACTCCCGTGGTAGTGGGGCTTTGGGCACGCGCAGCCCCACTGGTGACAGGCCACTGGCCCGCCACGGGCAGCTTGTGGCCCTTAGCCAGGCGAGCGGCCAAGCTGATGGCAAGGAAACTGTGGGTGGGAGGATTCTCCCTGCGGAGCCGCACTGACAGTAACAGTCACGTGTGTGAGCAGAGGCCACGCTCCCTCTGGGGGGTGCCCGTGCGCCACAGTGCCACGTGGGCCGGGGCGTGTCCCTGGGCCACTTCTGGAGGCCCGGGGCCCTCGGCAGAGACAGCTGCGGTGCTGGGGGAAGCGAGGGGGGTCTGGGGGGGATCCCGTTCTCGGCCTCCAGGGAGACTTGCTGGGGCTGCTGGGGTGCAGGGAAGGAAAGCAGTGTTAAGAGACACCTGGTGGGGGACCAAAGGCGACAGTGGACCACTCGTTTGCAGTGTTACCTTGCTGCACTTAATTCACTATTTTAAAATTCCATATATGTCTTTCCTAAATGTGCCTATAAAGTGTTCTTGGGCAAGAATCCCATGTTATGTTTCACGGTGCTAAGAAACGTGCCACGAGCCATGTGAAAGACATCCCGGGTGAATCAACGTGAAAGGGAGTAACGTACCCCGCACGATTATTTTTAAATGATGACAGCTCAGGTCTCCACTGACCGAGTGAGGCAAAGAGCAGGGTCTATCTATAGCAAAACAGATTTTTTTAAAATCCAGAGAGTTCAGGTGGTACTGCGGGCAGAATGCAGGACCGCGCGTCTAGGAGTCTCGGCTCTTCCGTGCCCTCCAGGCCCTGCCCCCAGCTGCCCGCCTGACGCTGGGAGGGCGGTGTCGCTCGTTGCGGTCTCAGTCGCTCAGTCGCATCAGCTCGGCACCGGCAACATTTGAATCCCCTTCAAAGGGAAAAATCTGCAGCCCTGCACGGTTGGATCACTTCATTTTTACCATAATGCATAAATATACACAATTATAAGATAAGGCATAAACCTTTTAGGCTTACAGCTCTTAAGTATCACCAGGCACGTTAAAAAAAATTTTAAAAATAAACAACTCTGTGAGTCAATAGAACTCAATTGGAAAAAACTAAGTTGAGCAAGAATGTCACGCTTCTGCAGGACACGGCCCCTCCCCCCAGCGCGGTGCTGATGGGCAGGCCTTTTGCACGGGGCTGCTTACCCTGCCGGTGCCGTGTGAGGTTCTCAGCCGGCATGACCTTTCTTGGTACTGGGAGCCCGAGCCTCCCCGGGCCTCCCTTGGCAGTTGTTTCGGTAACACTGGGCACCTGGTGGCCACAAGCACCAACACAAACGAGGAGACAGATGAATTTCAGAGCAGTGTGTATTAGAAAGCGGACATCTACGTAACCCAGAATATGCTTGTATTTTAGATCGTCACCGAAACCCAAACACAGTTTTAATCTTATAGAGAATTCAGAGCCTTTTCAGAATTGGTCCCAATGCTCCAGCTGGAGAAATAATGGCGTCAAGAACCTCTAGGTTCCCTTCAGGCTCTGACAGTCCATCCTGCAACTACCCAATCTTACAGGAGCCTCAGAAATAGCCACAGCAGTGCACAGACCTGCCACCAGGGGGCGATGGAGATCCATCATGGTGAAGAGAAGACAGCACCACCGCCGGCCTCTTCCTTCAGGTCAGCGAAGAAGGTCCCTAGAGTAAAGCATCTCAATCCAGCTGTGCACATGATAGCTCTGCAAACGATACAAGTGCATTCTCCTACTAAAAGGAGAGGGGGTTTCTCTTTTTGTTATGCTTCTCTCACTATTTGTATTTATCAAACAGCCTTTGAGTGCCTACCATGTGCAAGAAAGAGCCATGTGCAAAGGAAAAGTCGACCACAGAATTCTAAATAGTCCTCAAACCTAAGTTGCATTGACGGTTCTCAGAGAGTCTCTTTCTATAGTTCATTGGTTAGGGTCGGCCCGAAGTACATGGACTCCAGCAGGGGAAAAAGGACGCAGTGTTTGAAAATAGCAAGGAGGTGTCCATGTCATGGGGCAGCTGCACCCTGACAGAAGGAACAGCCTTGGGGTCTTCCTGGTGGAAAGTTGCTCTGTTTTCGGAGACATTCATTCAGCTGGACACCCTTGAACCAATGTGTTTACTTCCAGACTTTTGTGTCTGTTACTGAACTAATACAATAAGACCCTTGGAAAGAAAATGTGTCCTTACTAACTAGATTTTTATGAAAAAGTATAACTTCAGATTGAGCCAGACCAGGTGAAATACAAATCCAGGCCCTGTCGATCAGAGCAAGGCATGGAGGATACAGCAATGACCAACGCAGATGTCGCTCTTTCCCCTGGAGTTGCTGGTCTGGGCAGCGCACGGCCTTGGCCTGAGTTTATACGCCCACGTGCTGCACACACTGCGCAGGGTCCGGCAGCCCAGGCTCCCTGATGCTCTCTGGCCCTGCACCTCCCCTCTCTTCCAAGAGCCGTCTTACTCTGGACTCTGTGTCCCTTCAGAACGTGCCCGCCCGTGTCACTTACCTCCTGGCCCTGCTTCCGTTGCCAGCCTATAGCTCTTGCCAAGAACTGACAAACTGGCACAGCAGTCAAACCCCAGCACACGGGAGACAGCCCAGGACTGAATCCCCGTGGTACCACTTGTTCGTAGTGTGGACTCTCCAGGCTCCATGTCCTTCTGGGTAAAACAGGATAATAAATGTACCTGCTGCAAAGGACTGTGGGGAAGATGAGCTAGTCTATATAACATGCCAACAACAGTGCCCCTCAGAGTACGTGATTAATAACTATCAGCTGATATCATCATCATCATCACCAATGTGTTTGTGACTCTTGACTTCTCTACCCTCCAAAGCAACTCGATGCCGTTTAGTTGGGGCCTTCTTACTGGTAGAACTTCGTGTTGCAAGTGCTCAAGGTTGAAATCTCGCTACAGTGTCAGGCAGGTGGGGGGCTTTGGAGACAGGTGTGTTGCTCGGCACGGGTCAGCGCAGCCGTGTGTGTGGCTGTTCTATTTATAACGCCCTCTGGGGTCTTCGCAAACGTTACCTGCTGTTTAGGTGCATTCCGCCTTCCTCTACAGTTGATTCTGCTCACGATTTTGTTTGCACCAACAAACATATGTATTGCTTTCCTCACTCTCCTGAGCCAAAATGTTCAGTGTTTCTAATATAATTTGAAATTCTTAACCCCTTAGTGATCTGGCCCATCTTTACTATCCAGTCTCACCTAGTCCCTCTCCCTTCGGCTTCAAACGGCCTCGCCCAGCAACGGCCCCCCAAACACCCCTGCTCTCCTGCCCGCTTTCTTCGATGCGCTGCTCCCCAGGCAAGCATGTGCCTTCCCCTCCCCCACCGTCTCCATCCTCTCCCCCTCCATCTCCTCCGCCCTCAGCCCGGCTTTTGACGGGCACCCTTCCAGAAGGTTTGCTGTCCTGTCAAGTTTGCATCGCTGCCTCCCCAGGCCTCACTCCACGCCAGAAGTGCCATTTCCTCCTTCTCTCCCCGTAGCGCCCAAAGAGTTCTTCCAGCGCAGCACAACAAACAGTATGTTATGTTTTGTGCCAATCTGACCAAAAAAAAATCGGTATGATTTTTACTCAGTCATACGGAGGGCTGTTGTCACTTTTTAATTTGATAATCTAAGGGAGAAGAGTGCCCCAGACTAAACAGTCAGGTACTGCATGTTTTAAAAATTCTTGCGACACACTGGTTGAAAATGGCTGTTATAGAACATCTGTCCATATTATGATTATTTGAATACATGTCTTATCATCAATACCTCATGTGAGTCACTGTAACTTTGTTACTATGACATTTTCTTTGATTTTGTAGCATCCAGTCAGGGGCTGGCCTGTAGAAGGTATTAGCTTATTGAATCGAACAATTTACACCCTTCAGTGCAACCAAGCTTTCATATTAACTCCTTAAACACCTAGTAACACCATGGTACAAATTTACACCAACAGCACCCCTGGACGCCCTGCGTTCCATCGCTGAGTCGGCTCTGGGGCAGTGACCACGCCTTGGTTGATTCCTGGCTGTGTGAACTTGGGCACTTTCTTGGACAAAATGGGCATAACATTTTATGGGTATAGCCTCATAGGGCTCCGGTGAGGACAAAATAAGCTGGTCCACGTAAGCACCTAGGAAGTGCTCAGTAAATGTTAGCAGTTACTCACCTCAAGGCCAATTTCCATCTGCCTTCTACCCCGATAAAAGCCTGGAAAAGTGGCTATTTAGATGCTGCAGTTACTAACTCTCACCAGTAGGGGGCGCCCAACCCCCGGAGATGTGAGAGCTTATCTTCTAGCTGGAGCCCAGGAGGGGAGAACGCAGTTTGGGGCTGGGGGTAGAAGTGTGTCTATAAATATCAAGAAAATCCCAGGTTATAAATGTCACCACACGGCTTCTGCAAGAGGTTCCCTGGGAGGACATTCAACTGCACCTCCTTCTCTACCCACCACCTGCTTAGGATGGGGCGGGGCGCCGGGGTGTGGCTGTGAGCAGAGGCCCGGCAGAGGGACACCAGGCAAGGAAAGCTGGGTTTGTCGCTGGTGACGCCCGTATTGATTTTGACTCAGATTTCTTTCCAAATAAGCTAAAATGTATTCACTCAGCCAAGCCCCTGTGCCACTTCCTGAAGAAGAGATAAGTCCTGCAAAATCTTCTTCCTCTGGCTCCTTCTCCAGCCGGGGTGTTGATCTGTTTCCTGCACCTGAGCATGCCAAGCCCATTTCCAAGTCGTGCTGTGGCCTATCTTCTCCAATCCTGCTGGTGTTTCTGGGTCCCACTCAATACCCACCTCCTCCAGGAAGCTCTCCTTGATCTCCTGGAGGAGCCCAACAAACCCTCCTCTTCTAAGCCTGTCCCTCTGGCCTTTCCGCAGTGAGGTCCTTTCTCCAGTGCTGCCTGTCAGGAATTTACCTTTTTATGTAGCTCACTGAGGACAGGGGCATGTCTAGTTTGTACACACACACAGACACACACACACACACACACACACACACACACCCCACACCAGGCAGCGCAGGGTCCTGCATGGAGCTAGGGAGATGCTGACGACAGACTGACTGCAGGAGTCCTGCAGGCGTGTGAGAATGAGCGGGCGGCTCCTTAACCCACACCACAGAGAGAGGCAGACTCCACTGGACACAAGTGACCGTGCCCATGGCTTTGACATGGGCCATTTTCTCCTATGCTGCAATGAGAAAATGTCAAGGGAGAGCTGTCACAGCTACGCCCAACGTAGATACTGCACATTGTTATCTGGATCTCGGGTCCCCTCCTCTCGCTCCAGCAGCATTAAATTTTAAATTTAAGAGTTTTCACTTGTGGTTGATTCTATTTAGCATTTGGTGAGTGAACTCATTAGGAGTTAAATTGCTCCCGCCCACCCTGCAGCCGGCCAGGTGCACCAAGCGTGCTAGACCGTGCGGGAGAGCAGACATGGCCACGCCCTCGCCGGTGTCCAGACTGTCATTCAAAAAGAGCTTCTTACACTTCCAGACACCTGGCTGGGTAGGCTCCGGGGATAGAACACAGATTAAGAGGATACTTTTTCTGTCTTAGGGACAGGTCTGCTGGGGGAAACCACATTCAAGTCAGTCAGATCAACAGCTTATCAGAGGATTTGATGAAGGTGTTAGATATGCAGACTTATTCAAATTCTGTTTGTGAGGCAATATTACATTTTTAAGAGTAAAACAATAGGAACATTTTGAGAGCAAAGAAAAGAATAGTAACCATTATCCCTCTCCCCAAAATTTCCTCCCCTACCCCCGGTCTCTGACATTTTCATTTCCCTTTATAAGAAAATAAAAGATTTTATCTCACAAGAGGCAAGGCTTAGAAAACAGACTTAAACTAATATCATATTCCTGATAGATGCAAGGAAAGCAGGGGAAACGTAGGGCGTGCCCATTCTACAGATTCAGAGCCTGAGGCCCCACACAGAAGGTTCAGCACTTTGGCTGGGCTGACAGGTGAGTTAGAGGAGGGGGCGCGGCTCCTGCCCAAGCCTCCTGGTTCTCAGACGTCCTCTCTCCCTGGCCCCTGCCTTCACTCTGTGTGTACAGGGATCCCAGTACAATGGACTGTCATGAAGCCAGGTCAAGAAAGGCTGAAGGGGAAAACCAGCATGCGGTGCTTCAGCAGGGCACCCAGGGCCTGGCCGGCCCGGGGCTGGTGCACGGTGCCAACCTGCGCTCCTGCTAACACAGGCGG